GTTTTCATCAAAGTCTGCTTATATTTTTTTATTTATATCTTAGGAGGAAACACGATCAATGAAGATTGATATAATCGCAATTTATTTGGAATTTAGACATAATTATTATGGATATCTTAGGAGGAAAGTTGACATTCCGCTTATTTTGATAAGCACAATTCAGGCTATTATTAATCAAACTCTGTCCAGTATTATATTATTGTATCTTTAAATTACTAATTCAAGTCAACAGAAACAGACAAGAACGGCCAAATGCAAACCAAAACTTGGCCCTGCTCGAAAACTTATCTATTCTGCCGAATATCTTTAGTTAAGGATAAAATTTGTCCACAAAAAGAATTTGCAAAGTACATAGGTAAGCTCCTAGGGTCAGGCTTTTGGGGCTTTGGCCAGTTCCTATTTTAAGGGGCATGCCTCATCGCTCTCAAAATAATAGTCGAAAATATATATATTTTTTGTATATTTATACATTCTGTATATTATACACAAAATTATACAAATTTTATATATTTTTTTGGCTACCGAATATAAATAATTTCTAGCACAGATTAAAAATTATCCATAAATAATTTTGCATATCCATCAATTCGTTTAATATCACGACTTCATTTATGCATGGGTTTGAATATTTTTTCCACCGTTTGAGATAAGATTTTGATGCAATTCGAAGTTGTGCAACTTCTGCAAACTACTTCAATTCAACTCACATGTGGCAAAGTCCGATTTTCAAAGTCAAATGATTTTTATTTTACTGTAATTTTTTCATATGTCTTTTAAATATTTTGATTTATTAATTCTGGTGACTTAAAGTATTTTTTACGTAGTTTACAAATATATAAATTTTGTTTTAAATTTTTTACAGATCCTATTTCCGAATTTACGGTCAAAATTAAGAATTTCACTCACAAAATTCGAGCTCCGACACATAAATTGGGACAGAGGGAGTAATTGTCCGGGGAATTCTTTTTTCTATATCGGATGTATTTGATACGAAGAAAAATATTATTTAAAAAATACAACCCAATTTTTATGTTTTGTTGGTGAAAATATTTTGAAAAATAGTTTTCTTAAAAATCAACAAATTAACTTCCCTAGTTGAATTAGTGGAAACAAGTTCTCGAAGTGGCACTCGGCATTCCACGCTGATTGTTTTCTCTCAGCCCCCAACACCCTATTCCAATCCCTACCCCTCAATAAGACAATAACCCATTCCTACCCTCGAAACCTCCATCCCAACTCTCGATTTCTGTTTTCGTTTAGAGGCGGATTCAAGGTTTAAATTTTATGGGTTTAACTTTCAAAAAATTTAGCATTGGATCCATTATATTGTTAAAATTATGGATTCATATCTCCTATTTTTGCAATTATTATAAAGTTTTACATATAAATTTTTACCCCGTGTCAAATGTTATGAATTCAGTTGAACCCATTAGTTCAACACTACATTCGCCCTTGGTCCCATTCACAAAATATTTGCTAAAATTACATTAAAATACGTTAAAATAATATTTTCTATTTACTTGTCAAAAAATAGAAACATTTCTTTTATACTAAACACGCCCCTTCTTCTTGTTTTTTCCTTATGTCGGGGGAAGTGCAAGGCCGAGATGATACCTGGGCCCGAAATTAAGGTGGGCAAAATATAAAATTAACCCTTGGATCAAAATTAATTGTCAAAATAGCACGGTATAGCCACTTTTCGAACTGGTCATTCAAAAATAGCTAGCGTTTACCAAGTCAATGAAAAATAGCCACTATTTTGCTGCAACAGAGACCGGTCCAGCATAATATACTGGAGTTCGGTACACCTGTGTATGAACTCCAGCATATTATGCTGGACCGGTATACTTTGCTGGCTCTAGTATAATATAATGGAGACTGGAGCACCGATGCTCAAACTCCAGTATATTATGCTGGACCGGTATACTTGCTGGAACTCCAGTATATTATGCTGGAGTTCTAGTGTACTTATGCTGGAACTCCATCATATTATGCTGGAGTTCCAGCATACTTATCCTGGAACTCCAGTATAATATGCTGGAGTTCAAGTATACTTATGCTGGAACTCCAGCGTAATATACTGGCGTATTTTTCGGGTTTTGAACAGTGTTTTCGCTCAGATTTATCTTTACACGAAAAGTGGCTAAATTTCGATTACTTTTGAAACTGGACTATTTTTGAACGACCAGCTGTAAATCTGGCTATTTTTGAATTTCTCCCAAATTAATTGGATTCGCTAGTTAAAAAGTATTTAAGATAGGAAAATTTACCTCCTATAGCAAAGATATACATCCTATTTATCATAAATTAAAATTATTTTAAAATATTATTTTCTATAGCTACCTTTTATATTTTATAGCAAAATAAGTATTTATGGTATATACTACGCCATTGAGGCATGAAACAAGGCATGAAATACGCTATTTATGTTTTTCCTCTCTCTTAATTTTTAAGGTGATTGTCGTTACTGTATTCATGAATACATGGCGCGAATACATGTGTATACATGCGCATACAGCTGGACTGCCCTGATTTTACTGCTGTATTCATGAATACATCAGCGCGAATACATGTGAATACATGCGCGTACAGCTGGACTGCCATAATTTTAGGCGCTTTTTGCTGCTGTATTCATGAATACATGTGAATACATGCGCGTACAGCTGGACTGCCTTGATTTTAGGCGCTTTTTACTGCTGCATTTATAAATACAAGAGCGAATACATGTGATACATGCTAGTACAACTGAACTGCCATGATTTTAGGCGTTTTTTGCTGCTGTATTCATGAATACATGGCGTGAATACATGTGAATACATGCGTACAACTGGACTACCCTGATTTTTAGGAGCTTTTTGTTGTTGTATTCATGAATACAGCAGCGCGAATACAACGAATACACTACCGTAACAACTGAATAGTAGCTATAGAAAATTATGTATATGGTAGCTATAGGAAGTTAATAGCCACTAAACAATAGTGATTTTTGAAAATTCCTCTATAAGATATGTATAATTTAGGGATTTATTCGTTCCTATACAATATTTGAAACTCTTTTACCAAAATTGTTCTAATTTTATATATTACCTGCACTAAACAAGGATTACTTACAAATATATACATTCCACCTTAAAAGGATCCTAATCCATTATTAGTGCCTTCAACCAAGGGATTTAATTACACCATTTTCCTTTTCTCTCTTCTCTCTCCCCACTTCTCTTCGGATCGAACTTATATTTAGGTATGATAATTATTTCGTGATACATCCGTCAAAGCCATAAGATACTACTGAAGTTGTCATCTTTCTTTTTTTTGCGTCTTTTTTTTTTTTCTGTCGAAGAGCAGAAATTTTAGTTGCAAATAATACAAGCAATAAGTCTCAGTTTTGAACATCAACACATATGTATTTAATAATCTCGACACCAAAGTAGTCAACATACCCTTGGACAGCCATATGAGGGTTTCCAACTTGAATGCAAACGGAAGATACCTGGTGAGGATTGTGGATGCAATGAGCTAAGCGCATATTTGTAGAGGGCCCTTCCATCACCTCTTTCAGTACTATTCAGAGTAAATTAGAGTACCTGATAAGCAGTCATATTTACCAGCAGCTCGAAGATCCATCCAAGCATCGACATCCACCAGGAACTTCTAACCTAACTCCCTTTCTTCTTGCTTCACTCCACCCAAATTATTCATTTCCCATCAATATTCAAGTTTTTTCGTTCAAACCAGTGCACATGTGTCGATTTGGAATTCATTCCTTAAAAATAAATTTCGTACGAATTTAATGCAAATTTGAATATCTACAACAATATACATAGTAAAAATAAATTTCATACAACTAATTATATATTATACAACTTATTTACGAATTACCTACAACTTTCATACATTATTTCTACCCAGTTAAATATAATTACAATATCATACAACTTAAATACAAATTTTGTACAATATATCTTTTGTATATTTTGTATCAGGTTTGTATATATTTCTTATCTGGTGTGTGCTTCTTCCTCTCTAAAATTCCAATCAGAACTTACTCTCTAATACAATTTTGATACATATCAACAACTTAATGTAAAAAGATAGTATTGATAACTTAAATACAATGATTCATACATTGTACAACTATTTTTCAACTTTCATAAAATATTCAAATAAAAAATATATATAACTACAACCGAATACAATTTTCATACAATTATAATACAGCTTTACTACAATTCCACAAGTATATTGTATGTCATGTGTTCTTTTTCTTCGAGTTTCGATCTGAAATTCAGCCAAAATAAAGTCTAATCTTCACCAAACACCCTCAAAATTGAGATATAAACTCCAAACAATATTTTCAATTGTCTATAACAACACCCAATCCAAATAAATAATGATTTTTAAAAATCCAAATTCAATTTCAAAGCTTCAAAGCTTTTTAATGCCTGTTAATGGTGAAGAGTCAAACACCTTCAAAATTTATTGATTGATAATTTCAATTTGAACACCAATTGTGTAACATGAAAGAAAATTGCTAAATTAAAACGATTGAAATCCATTGATGAATTCCATTAAAACTCTATAGAACAAGAAAGCATAAAAAACAGAGGATATCAAATGAAGAAAAATTGGGGGGAAAAGAGAAGGAGAGTCGAGAGACGAAGAGAAAGAGCGACACAGAGAGAGACGGAGAGAGAGAGAGAGTGGGCAAGTATAAAGGGATAAGGAAATAACTGATATTCCTTATTCAGTTCCTATATAAAGGGATACTCATTTAAAACTTATTTGTACATAATTGGTAAATTGTATATGACCATGTAATTAAATTGGAACTTGAATAGAGAGGGTAATAAGGTTTCAAATAGTGTATAGGAAGGTAAAAATTCCTATAATTTTTGGACATAGTATATACATTGCTCAATTAAGGCTCCACTTACGGAGGTCCAAAGACTAAATGGGCCAATCCAGCCCACTTGCCAAATTTATCATCCATAACGAACCTCATCTCTCTTGAGTTGGAGTCGTAGAAATAGAAACAGAGAATGCGAAGACAGGTCGATTTGTCGTTAAATACAAGGTGAGAGACAAAAACTACCATGAATTTCATCGACATATGAATCAAAAGAGATATACATTACTGTCGGATAAAAAGGAAGAAAAGCTTTCGGCTGTGTTTGGTTCATCTTCTTAATTTCAACAACACTCGCCTATAACTGGGTCTAAATTCACTCTGTGAAAATGGATTGTACGTTAAAGATGTCATCTTCCTCAGTTTGCCTGCCCAAAATTTCGCCAATTTCGATTTTCAACAGGAGCACAGGCTTGTTCTTTCCAAGACCCATTTTCAGAAATACCCCAAACAATGTTATTTCTCAATCTCCCTCACTACGGGTAAGTGCTTATCTTCTTTCCAATTTTGTAGTATATGTTTGATGCCGTTATTTTTTCAATTCTTCAATTTTCTGAATCCATATTACAATTTTGTGTTAAGATGTACTTTAATAGGATTTTTACACAAATTTACGGTTTACTTTTTCTAGCCAGTATGCATAGATTATAGGCCGATTATACATGATTATGCACATATTATACATGGATTATACATATATTATACATTCGTCCGCTATTTTTAGTTTAACCGGTTGAGTGAGTCGCTGTTTTGGTTAATTCTTCTACTTTAATCATAGTGTTACCCTAATATGTCAAAGAAGTAAATTGCACTCTTGATGAGGCATAACCACATGCTTTTATTTAGAGAGATGCCTATATTTAGAGAGTGGCGGATCCAGGATTTAAGGTTGTCGGGTTCAATATTTATGTTCTCGCCACTGAATCCATTCTACTTTTGCGATCATGGGTTCAAAACTAAGTATTTATTGAAATTTTAGTGATTTTTCATATCTGTAGTTATGCTCTGTGTGAAAAATACTAGGCTTAGTTGAACCCATTGAGGCTACACTGCGTCCGCCTCTGAATTGAAAACTAGAAGCATAACAAATGGATGGCAGGCTGGCAGCTTACACAGTAACATTAAAATAACACTAAGCAAAAAAACTTAAGACGGAAATGATTCAGCTTGGCCTGCCAGTATCAAAATTTATTTAAAGACCTCTTGCGTCAATTTCTCAAAGCAAATATATTCATTTTTTTTCATGATCATAACGAAAGATGTGATTGAAGATAATCTAGCACAAGCCTAAATTTTACATTTCTCTTAATATCTTAATAAGAGTATGTGCCTGAATATTGCAGGCAATGCAAATAAATGGTGTAGGTGATGCTCACAAACGAATAAGCAGTCTTGAATCTCTGTTTTGCTATGATAAGTCTGTACCAGAGGAAAGAATTGAGAAGCCAACTGGATTGGCCTTGGCCAAGAAAAGTATTGGAGATAATCCTCATTGTCCCGGATGTGAAGCTAAAGGTGCTGTCCTTTGCACCACCTGCTCCGGTACAGGCCTATATGTTGATTCTATAATGGAAAGTCAGGGGATAATTGTCAAAGTTAGATGCTTAGGTAAGTTCTTTTCTTCTCTCTTTCCCTTCACATTCAGATTTCTTTCAATCTTTGTCAATGTATGTTGATTGCTGGACATATTTTTACTTGTATCCAGTATATTTCTGATCCTTATCTTTAAGTGTAGGTCCATAGCTAATCAATTTTTCTTTTCTGATTAAGGGATTTAACTCCCAACGACAACAGCTACGCCTCTATCCCAAGCTAGTTGGAGTCGGCTGTATGAATCCTCAATATCATAAATGCATTGTTTAGGTCCATTATATTGCAATATTCCGTACTTGAGGATTATCTAAGGCTGAGGGATTTAACTCCCTAGGGTAGAAATTGATGATATATTACTATCTTGCTGCTACAAGCAATCACTTAAGAAATTTTTGAAATGAGAAAAAGTGGACCAGTTCAACTGCTTTTCAAATTCCTCCTTGAAAGTTATTACCTGAGCATTTCTCATTTTAATTTCTTTCGGCTAGCCTAATCAGTAGAAACTCATAGCTTTGGGGCAAGAGGCTTCAGCCTTTAGCTAGCTCTGATGACCCGTGAATAGAAACTATATGGCCTTACAACCAGAGAACAATAACACACCGACCACGAACTTCTAGGAAACAAATGAAAGTGCAAGCTGAGTTTTCACACCATTTCTCGAACTTGGAGGCCATGACAAAATGTAGGAATTTTGAGAACTTGTTAACCACATCTAGCAAATGTGGTTGATATTACACTATGCTAAAGCATTAAATAAGGTTCAAGAACCATATTGCTGTCTATTACTGTAAATGCGCACTTAGAATGATAAAACTAATTATAAGATTGCTAAAGAAAAACTATGCCTAAATCTTAAACTATCTAGGGCGTCTATGTCAGTCCTCCGTGAACATTTGTTCTGTTTGCATCCATTTCATCCCAATAGTAAATGAGTTGTCTTTAAGTCAAATTAGGGGTCCTTTAAAACTAGAGGCTCACTATAACAATTATCCTATTGACATAAAAGTCTCTATCCAGTCTTCTGCAAATACTGGAACTAATTTGATCTGAAAAGATATTCTGAATCTGCTACTCGTCAATGTCCAAACTTCAAATCGTTAAAAACCCTGGATGCTCTTTCTTAACAATATTTCTTCTCTTGTTGAAACTACTCATGTATTTCAGTTCCTGCTTATATTGTTCCTTTTTTCTTTAAATTTCACCTACATGATTCTAGAAGCATTTTTATTGAGTTCTGAAAGTGGCAAGATATTTTACTTTTTGACTTTGACCTTACAGGTTGTGGGGGTTCTGGTAACATAATGTGTTCAGAGTGTGGAGGACGAGGTCATCTTTCACTTGCTTGATTCTAACAGTTTGATCTTGTGGCTGTTTGTCATGACGTAGTCGGCTTTGTCAGGTAGCATGAAAATGAAAAGGTGGTTGTTACATATATTCAAGAATAGCTAATTTGAAGTTATTTTTGTGTATCAGTTGATTGTTTTTGTGGAAAAATAATGTTATCTGTTGAATACAGCTAGATTTCCCTTTGTTAGGATATCATTTTTGTTCTAAATTCTTATCAAGTTGAACGTGAAGAATGTAGGATATCTGAATGGATGTAAAGCAATGTAGAGTTTCTTGTGTATGTTTCAAAATACCTTTCGAGTCTCGTGAAAAAGAACTTTATAAATCTTTTCTTCTGGTTCGTAACCTAATGAAACGTAACAATAGCGAAAGAAATCTTTCTCTTGTCCTGGGATTGCAAACTATAGCAGGTTGTCGCACTTTTAGTGTGACCAATGCTTTACTAGTTTATCCTTAATAATATTTTCTAATTCACAAAATATTTTTCCTAATAAATTTTCTAACTTTCTTTTCATTCCATGTTCGTTGTTGATCTATTTCTTTACAAAGAAACTTTTTAGTTTATAAGTTTTTTTAAGGATATTTTAGTCATTTTAATAAAAGAAAAACTTATTAACACTTTTTTACCAAACACATTAATTGCTTATTATCAATTTCAGCACATCTATCCAAACACGCAACTTATTTAAAAAATTAATTTCAGCACTTAAAAATATTTTTTAGCACTTCAGATTTATCAACTATTTACCATTCAAACGGACTCTTATAGCCTGTTTGGCCAAGCTTCTTTTTGGCCAAAAGTACTTTTGGCCAAAATTTGAGGTGTTTGGCCAAGTTTTTGGAAGGAAAATAAGTGCTTTTGAGGAGAAGCAGAAGCAGTTTTGGAGAAGCAGAAAAAAGTAGCTTCTCTCCAAAAGCACTTTTTTGAGAAGCACTTTTGAGAAAAATACACTTAGAAACAGTTTTTAAAGCTTGGCCAAACACTAATTGCTGCTCAGAAGTTCTTTTCAAACTAATTAGCCAAACACAAACTGCTTCTCCCCAAAAGTACTTTTGAGAAAAGCTTTTCTCAAAATAAGTTGATTTTTGGAGCTTGGCCAAACGGGCTATTAGACTTTCCAGAGTGTTTCTATGAGAATCTACTAGTGTTAGTACCAAATAAAAAACCATTTAAATAGGAGGGGTGCTTGTAGATATGAGTTAAAGGTAAATTTTAATTATAATTATAAAAATTTATAATCTATGTTAATGTTTCTTTATAGTTCTCGCATTTACTTTACCATTTTACTCACATTGTCTTGTCTCTTCTCCCCTACGATCGAAGATTTTTTGTTCTACAACAATGTATTTATATTATCAAGTCAGTTAACTATCAACTTAGATATATACTTGCACCAAAAGTTAACCCTGATTGATATTGATTGAACAAACCGATATAGCGGTTTGGTTTCGATGTAGATAAAACCGAATCATAAACTTGTGGTAGTCCACAAAAATAAACTTGACCATATGGCATTCTAATTCTAGTCATAGAGCTGGTTCATTTTGCACCAGTAATCATTAAGGTCTGCATCTAGGAAATTTTACACATAATTGATAATACATTCAAGGAGATGAATATGTTGTTCCACCATGATCAATGAACCAGACATCTGACTGCACTAAAAGAACGATCACACTAATACAAAACACTTTCTAGTCGCGGTCAGCATCGTCCAGTTCTTCATCCTCAGGTACACCACGAAGATAGAGGACATTATTACATCTGCAAAAGCAAAATCACTAAGTTTAAGAAAGAGAAGTCACATTTTCGTTAGGGAGCAACCATTTCACTCGCAAATGCTTTTTTATAAATAAAGTTATATAACTATACGAAAAGACTGCCAGGAGTGAATTAACATGATACAATTGATGAAAAACGAATTAACAAGTAAATTTGTAAGAGCTAAATGGATCACTATCCTAGAGTGATGTGTCAGACAACTACCATATAGATAATTCTGAATCATGAACTTATAAACCAATCAATAATCGATAAATATTTGAAGTACTCTTTTTACGAAGAACTGAAAATCTAAAAAAATGAAACAAAAGCTAATGGATGTAACTGATCCAATTGGAGAATGGTATTGTGAGGAAGATGGAACATCAAGTCGCAGGTAAGGATACCATTTGCTAGCAATAATAGACAACTTTTGAAACGCTACGAATGTCTGCGTACTCACTCATATCACTAAGGCAGCAGGGCAAATAGAGCATATCAAACATTTGTCATACTGGTCTAATATTTGTCATTCACACGACACAAAACATGCAACTAATAAAAAGATGCAAAACAAGGAAAAATCTCCATATTTCCAACTCCTAAAGTCAACAAAGTTTAGGAACCATTTTTTTTATATAAAATAAGCCAACCAAGAAAGAAAAAGGATGAGCTCCATTTACAACTACACATGTTTCTTCAGCTTTATACGCCTGCTACCTGATGCAGGCAGAAAAGGGAGCCAGGGGGGAGAGGAAGAAAATGAAGGTGGCTTTTGAGCTGTTACGATTATTATGTTTTTTCAAAATAACCATTTTAGTATGATTAGTATGTTCAGCTGTTGGCATGAATTTCAAATATGGTTATCAGGATCAAAAGATGAAGCCACAAAAAAGTACCTAATCAGGATCTCTCCAAGAGAACCAGTGCATTGTCCATCAATGTACTCTTCTGCGTTTGCAAGCTGCAAAAAGAATAACATGATTTCAGAAAATCGCACACATGCACACTTCAATAGAACAAGCAGGTTACTGGGAGCTTGCAATTACTTATTCGGACAATGAATGTAAAATGCTTTACTGTAAAATTTGTAGTTTTGTGCTCGTTATTTTTCTGATTTTAGTTGTATACCCATTTGTAAAACAGACTTTCCTCCAAAAGTCAGGTTTTTATGTAGTCAGGATACATGAAGCTATCCTTATCAAGATAATCTCCAAACACGCAGCTAAGATTGGGAAGCATATGCTTATGTGCTGCAGACAATTAATTAGCTAATCATCTCCTACTTCATTACTGTGCAGGACCTTTGAGAATGGTCTTTGCGCTGCTGCAAAGTTGACTCCTTGAGAAATTTGTACAATACTAAAATATGGGAAAGGCATCATAAGTTAGCAAATTCAAATGAAAAACTCGGATTGGGTGGCTGCCTACTGCATCTTCAGGTTTGCATGGAAAGAAAGAATAACAGAAGTTTCCAAGATGAAACAACTGCCTTACTCAATGTGAAGCTGAGATCTCCCAAATAGCTATTGTTTCTCTTAGTTTTGACATTTTATTGCATCCGTGATCAATCTATATTATTGCAAAAAACTTAATGCTACTTTTTCTTCAACACAGCTCTGAGTTTACTGAACACGGTCCATCCCCACCCCAGATCCACATACAGAAAAAAAAACTAAAAAGCAAACATCCCCACTATTGCAAAGTTAACAAGAATTGGCCAAACACACACACACACACACAAAAAAAAAAAAAACAGAATTGGACCAACAAAGTTTGATATTAGGAAAATTTCTTTTCAACTTGCTTGCATAACAAAATTCTTAATACAGTAGTAGTAAATGCGGTTATCTAGACAGCACTCACGCCCCTGATGGATAGCAGTAATAGTAATATTGTCAAGCATATCATAAAGATATAGATGCACATAGATCCACTTAATAATGTTCTTTAGACAATTTGAAATGGAAAAGGACAGAAACTCAAATTAACATTATTACCTGCAAGTTCATGTATGAATCCACGGAGACCAGATACCCTAGAAAGAGAAAAGACAAAAGAAGGAGTTAGTTAAACAATGTTTGCAGACATCTCAAACTAAAAAACCTTAACGAAGAGCATAATATTAGGAACCACTAAGCAGAGTACCTTTGTACTCCATTCCCCACTTTAGCTTTACCATCACAGGCTTTCCAGTCAAATTGTTCAAAAAAGGCTTGGGATTAACTGGCACTGTCTGCAATGACCACATATTAAAAGCTATTCAGAATCAGAACCCCAAAGTTTCTAAATGCAGTACATTACTCTATTTGTATTTCCATTCACAGCATAGACTAAATGATAGAACACCATGATGATTAATATAGCAAAGATACAAACTTTAGTACCAATAGACCTGGTCTGAATTTTTTTTACGACCGAGAAACCCATCTGGGGCCAATCCTTAGGACCAACTGCAGCCTTCGAAACAAAGGGATAATAAGTCCACCCTCTACCCTTCACCACTTAAATACCAGGCTTAGTTCACATGGTATCGGGATAGAACATGCGACCTAAGTCACAAGTCCCCTCAAACTTTGCCACTTGAACTAAGCCCTTGGGGCTACCAAGAAGCTTCTAAAATAAGCTGCACCAATACTTAGGATCTACCCTCTATGTTTCAATTTGTTTGGTAATTCTGCTTATTCTCATATCAAATTGACCAAAAAAAAATACGTTTTTAGAATGTTGGTTATGTTAGCTTAGTTAGACTCTCGATAAAAAAAAATGCTGAGCACGGTGCATCACATGTTGCAGGTTTATTATCCAGAGAAACAGTAAGAAGTATAATACAACTATTCAGCAACAAATAAATATACTTTTGTAATAATAAGGTAAAACAATAATATTAATTAATAGCACCAGATAACAAAGAAGAACAAAGTAACAGCACTATAAGGAGGATATAAAAGCAAGAGCAGCTATTGAAGAATGGTATTTGAGTACTTACCGCCATGGAAGCTTTTCAAGGGTTTAAGGAAAAGTGGGAGGAGAAGGGGAACTGCTCTTGCTAGTCAATATGTTTCTCCTCTGCGCTGGAGATGATTGGGCTTATAAAACTTTAATGGGCCAAACTCCAATTAGGTGTGGGTTGGCCCATGTGAGGTTATGATGCCCGAGTCCAATCCTCTTACATAATCGAGAAAAAAAGGGAAAATTACGCGTCACATCAAACATTTATCATTCGTAGCTATATCTTCAACAGATTTATCATTGGTAGCTATATTTAAATTTTATAGCAAATCCATGAAATAAGAGATTAATTATTTTGAACTGAAATAAGAGAGCAACAAGCTCTCATAACTCAGTTGGCTCTAAATCCATGAAATAAGAGATTAATTATTTTAAATTGGAATAAGAGAGCAACAAGCTCTCATAGCTTAGAGTTACGAATGATAATTATGAAAATTATAGTTATTAGGCTCTAAACTATAATGAGCTACGAGAGCTTGTTGCTCTCTTATTTCAGTTCAAAATAATTAATCTCTTATTTTATGGATTTGTTATAAAATTCAATTATAGCTATGAATAATAAATTTGCTAAAAGTATAGTTACGAATGATAAATAGAGTGTAAATATTTGATGTGTCGCATAATTTTTCTGAAAAAAGAAAATGGACCGCTTTTTTGAGAATTGGGACCGCTAGTCTAACATTTAGCTGCTTTTTAATACGGAAATGTGTTATAAAACAATAAAGAACAAGAGCAATATTGCAGAGAAAAAGAGAGAGAGAATTCTTATTGAATTTTGGGATGATTTACAATAGGGTAAGACCCCTCTATTTATAGGGAGAGAGTAACTTAGTCACCAAGCAATGAACCCTAGAATCTCTCTAAATATAGACATTCACCATAAATACAATTCTATTTATAACACTCCCCCCTAAATGCCTATTCAACAGATAATGTGCCTCGTTAAAACCTTAACTAAAATAAAACCCAGTGGGAAAAAATTCTAGTAAAGGAAAAAGAGTACACATATCTAACAATACGCCTTTTGGTTGCCTCGTTAAAAACCTTGCTAGGAAAAACCAGTGGGACAAAACCTTGTAAGGGAAAAAGAGTACAACGCGTATTAACTCCCCCTGATGAGAGCATCAATTCACATCCTTAAGCATTTGAATTCCAATCTTGTGCACCATCTTCAAAAGATCTTTGGTAGAGATTTGATGAACAAAAATCAGCCAAAACTTGAATGAATATATTGCACCTTGAAATCATCATTCTTGATAGAGATGAATTGTCTTCATATGATCTTATTGGAATCGTCAGTTCAATATCTTCATATAGAGGTGAAAACTCTTGCTATCATATTATCATGCATATAGTTATAGCAAGATACATTTGTGCACAAATTGCACTGAGGAAGTGGTACTTCAAGATCAAGAATTGTATATGCTTCAAGCAACTTAAATCCTTCATGGATTGTCATATAAGTTAAGTCGTATAAGTCATATAATAGACTTTTGATGCATATCGACTTTTCATGTCATGCTAGACATATAAGATACCAAAAACTGATTGCACATACCATTGACTTTATACTTTCAAGTGTTTGAACTACATGTCCAAAACTACATGTCTTTCATATGAAACCAATTCTATTTGAATTGTTTCTATAGACATAAGATCCTCATCCTCATATATATATTTAGCGCTATTATCAATGTCGTCGACAAATATTTTATATCGGTTCCAACCTCCTTATTTTTCATAAAGACATAACATAGAGATCTCTTCAGTCATATGTTCAGGTACTTGAATCTTTCATGAGATTTTATGAAGTGTTATGTCATGTGATCTTCTAGATCACTTGCCTCCTTTATTATGATCATTTTGATCATTTACTCACCTTCTTTATCAAGAAGTTTATTTGAAACCGATTGTCTATATGCTTTAAGCGTACCATAGACTTTGTCCTTCTAGGACTTAACATGAGCATTTGCAATGAGAATATAGTTACTTTCTTTGGGTCAGCAAATGTGTTTGGCATGCTTTGCAATATATTGCAACTGAATTATCTTTATGAACTTCAAGTTCATTTTATCTTATTCGAGGATCTAGATGTACAAATGATAATTCATTCTAGGTAACTTTTTCTCAAATGTTATCATCTCTCCCCATCATGTTAGAAAAACTAACTTGCTTCATCATCTTTGTGCGTTATGGTGTTAATCAAAATATACACCGCACATCAATAATAATAAGATGGAATTGTTTGGTTCCCGACCCTGAACCACTTGTGAGGTGAGAAAATAATATACTTTCGTATATAACGTATATCAAACTGATATAGATAACTTTGTTCTCATAAGCAATAGTTTAGCTATTAAGTGGAGGCACTCAATAAATTCTTTTGCTACACCAACTGTGATGTAAACCAACTTATCAAGATGAACTATCTTGAATAAAAAAGCTGGAAATTATGCTCTAAATCAAATTATTGAGCAAGTTACCTCGCAACACCATGTTGCGGGTTAATAATAATCGCACATGTAACCATCTCATAGATGCATCTTATGTGGTATACATGGCAGGTGAATGGGCCCGTATTCACCTTTGATATTTCCAGTATTTATGGGATTCAATCCCAATTTTAGTTGGTCCATTAAATAATGAGAACAAGCAACATAAGAGAATTCGTAAAGAACATTCTAGTTCTTTAACATTTACCCATGTGAATTCTCTATCATATTTGCACATCATACTTAAATTGATATGGCTAAACCAATTATGCCAACTGAATAAATTATCAATATTGATAAACTTCAGATTTACGCCATGACGTGTGCAATTATCAATAAACTCCAAGTCTATTATGATATGGGTTTTTATATCAATAAATATCCACTTTATTGTGGTATTCTTTTATTTGTGTAGTACAAACTGGAGAATAAAACGGATAGTTTTTCACATACATATTACCCTGCTACAAGATGTAGTAATAGAAGATATTAAATCTTTCCTTTATTTATAGTCTCAATATAATCAACCGCTTTCGTGTATACTTTGGAAACTGAATAAGTTTCTCTGAGACTTACTACAATACAATACTTTATTGGTAATTAATTGTGTTTCTCCAAAATAGTATAATTGGCTCTTGCAGAGTTCTCAATTAATTTTGTAGTACCACATATTCATCAACACCCATATGGTGAATATCTCTTTTAAAGAGAAAGTTATACCATTGTGGTTATGGTCAAGATTATATGCAAGATCTGTTTCTTGCATTACCGTTGACTTTTCATAATCACAATGCCAAAATATTTTGGCGTACAATAGGTACATGACAAATGACCATTCATGCCATAATAATGATATTATTTTCTTATATCATCTCAAACCTCCTTCTAGAGGTGAGTGGGGTACATACCACTAGGACGCTCATATTCTTCCAAAAATGAGTATGTATTCTTAAATCAGATGTTGTCACATTCACATCATGAATAGACCATAATCATCTATATGTGCTTTATAAAATCTCATGTCAAATCGATGACAAATATTTTCACAAGTGGGGGATTATTTTGAGAATCCTTATTATTCTCATTATCACAATGATGACGATTATAATTTCGTCTATTGCCACGTCCACATCCATTGATACATTCATAGTGATAATTTTGTCTTCTTTCAGACTTATCACATACTGCTATCACATTCTCTTAAGGGAATGAGAATGGAGCAAATTCAATGGGACGGGTTTCCACTTTTTGTGCCCATAATCATACATGAATTTGATCATGGCAAGACATAGAAACTTTTACCACTTCAGGTGGTTATAATTTCTTACAAACTCCATTAGAGTTATAATCAAACTTTGTTGTCTTTGCTTGTATATAAAATCAAAGTATAGAATAAAAGAGAAAAATACGGTAAAATACTTACCTTAAATCCAGAATTTAATCATGAAGGAAGTTAATGGAATAATTGATAATCATTATGCTCAATCCCAAAGCTTCTACTCAATTGGTTAGAGTCTCGTGCTGATAACATGTTATAAAACAATAAAAGAACAAGAGCAATATTGCAGAGAAAGAGAGAGAGAGAGAATTCTTATTGAATTTTGGGATGATTTACAATAGGGTAAGACCCCTCTATTTATAGGGAGAGAATGACTTAGCCACCAAACAATGAACCCTAGAATCTCTCTAAATATAGACATTCACCATAAATACAATTCTATTTATAACAAAATGAAATTTAAACATAAATATTCTTAGAAAATATACAGAAAACCTCCAGCAATATATAGGAGTTTGAAATTTACTCCAACACAAAGTTGCAATCTCCAGAAAAAATTCATAAAGTTTGAATCGCCTCCTTCTCGTATTCTAGGAGAATGTGATGTAGTTTTATTTACATACGTGTAAACTTCAAGATAATATTTTCGATTTTCACTTTTATAAATTTGAACTCCAGAATATCATGCTTGAGTTTGATGATTCGATCTAGTATGAGTAACTTTTTGTATGTAGACTAATTTTTTAACCTAAACAATAAAATAATAATATAATATAATTAATTAAAGGCAAAATGGCTTTGGGATCATTTAAACTTGTGCCCGTTTGTTAATCCGGTAACTAAACTTATAAGTTTCTCATTTAAATATTTTAACTTGGAAAAACAAGTACTAATAAATGCCTTTGATCATTGACCATGCTTATATGGCAATGCCTTAAATGCGTGCAAACCACGATACAAAAGTGTGTGAGTATAACAGTTTTGATTAAAAATAAAAAATGAAAGCAAATAAAAAAGAAAAACAAAGAAAAGAAATTGCAAAAGCTGAAAACTAACTCACCCCACGCCGTCCCTTCCCCTCTTTCTTCCTTCACCCTTTCATTTTGTTGCTGCCCTGGTTCTCTTCCCTTCCCCCTTTCTATTCTAGTCTATCCTCCTACTCCCTCACCCCAGTTTTAACAACCTATCACGACAACAATTAAAAGAGTAAAAGGAAAATGCTAGTTAGAAAAAAATTAAAGAAC